ACGGGCAGAGCGCGCTACGGCGCAGGTGAAAACGGCGCGAGGCGCGCTTCGGGTAGGAAAAAAAATCGTGGTGGGCCCAAGAAAACGTTCCCACTAGGGAACCTGCTCAGAATACCATGTGAGAATATGAACGGAATGAATGACTGAACTAGAAAGCAGGTGGGTACATTTAGGAAACCTAAAAGTGTTGTACCCTGTAAGGACTACCCCACTACAGCCTAAACAGACTATAGCATATAAGTTTGACAAGACTCGCAGTTTCAGCTGTGTCGCCACTCCAGCCTGTGAGCCCCGCATCACGCTCGCGCCATCCGTACTAATGCCCGACAATTTCATGATGTCGACGCCCGTGACGGCCAAATGGGCGAGAAGTACCGTCAACATAGATGACGCGTCGCACTTCTCGACTGTCAAGTGCCCAAACAGCTCGGTGACGACCTCTGCGTTGCGAATGAAGCTCAGATAGACGATCATGTGCTTGCCTCTGCGATGGTCGGTACTCTCGTCGAGTTGAATGCCTAGGAACGGTGCACGTCACAGTCAAGGTGGTATTAGTCGTTGTGATGCCAGAAACACAAACCAAGAACGTATCATCACTCACGCTGACTGGTATGTCCCTATGGCCTTGTCCGGGATGTGCGGCATCTGAAGCTCGGCCAACAGGCGAACAAGATCGACATAAAGGGAGATGGGGGAATCGGAATTGCAGATAAATAGCACAACCAGCATCAGTTGTTTCAGCCGCGACGTCTCGTTGTCGTCGTTCTCGAACTGCTCAATGCCCCGTTGGTCAACCTTACCGCCTTCTGCGCGAAGCTTGGCATTGACGGCGTCCTGATGCTTCTGGCTGAGCGCGTGCTTCCGCATCGTTTGCCGCTGGATATCAACGCCACCGTCGCCAAGTTTACCGAACTTCCAGTGGGCAGGACCGTGAGCCATGCATATGCTGCACTTCATGCACGGAGTCCCGTCCTTCCTCTGCGTGATAATCAGCCACTTGAATTTGTCCAGCCAATATTCCTTTGACAGTTCGTGCAGCTTCTCCATTAGCGCGTCTGGATCAGGGACATGGATGGTGCTCCTAGAAGGCCCAGGATCACCTGTCAGATGAGCTGCTGGTGGAGTTGATGAAGCACCTACTCTAGGCGCTGTGGTGGGGCGTGCCACGATGCGGACGTGTGGAACCCCTGCCTTAGCAATCCGCAGTGTGCTCTGGGTATATTGTCCTGCCTTGGGGAAACGGGGCACGGCAGTACCACGTGAAGTGCTAGGCGCCGCTTGCGATCTAGGCTTTGGTGTATTCCGAGAAGAGGAACTAGGGGAGACGGGCGGTGTGTTGCTGAAAGCCCGTCTAGCATTAACAGCGGGCCATGAAACAGGAGTAACATCATGGCGATTCGGGGAAGGTGCCCTAGGAACGCGAGTCGGCGAAGACGAGCCTAACACGGCGGCAGGCTGGGAGTGGCGTAGGAAATCTAGGCCCGTGACTAGTGGATTGGGCCGTGGGGTGGGTGATTCAGCAGCTTCCGCGTCGTCCGCCATGGCGAGAAGACGGACTGGCGTGAAAGGGGAGAGAATTAGTGTAATCGTGGTGAAAATGGTTGGGTGGGCGTTTGCAAGAGAGTAAGGGAGAAGAAGGACCCCCCGAAACCCCAACGCCCGACCGCACATCCCAGTTGACGAAGCGCGCATGGCTCCCGAAAACTGTGGGTGGCACCACTTGACTGTGGGTTTGTGGTGCTGGATTGATGACTGTTGTACAAAACTAACCAATCCCTCACTTGTGACAGGCCACGTACGACAGAAACGGTCCTGCGTGGGCAAGTCGTGACGCAGACATCACGTGAGGTCAGCATAGAACCTGACTGTTTGCCTGTTGCAGCAGCATTTTGTTGATGTGGTGGCAAAAGATACACGTGGGAGCACGGGCCGCGAAATGTATGATGCATACATTCCGGTATTCAAGGGGAAACACCCACACCACGCCTTGTTCACGCGTGAATCACGCCCAAGGGTAGAAAGATCCGGTAACAGACGAAACCGGAAAGTGTTCCTGATGAATCAGAGGAACATGGAAAACGTATCTGATGGATCAGATACAGAGGAAAAGCATTTCTGAAAGAACAGATTTCACTAAGTGCTAATTTCTGAATCATCAGATTAAATAAAAAAATAGCCTCCAAATATAGGACAAACAGACCAAAAATTTCTGCTAGCGACAACCCTGGTCTGCAGCAGTCATGAAGGATGGGCCTTTCGCCTTCCCGCAACCCGCCTGAGTACAGATCCACTCTTCTCTGTTCCCTCCAGTAGATGTTAACACAATGGCATGGTCCAGCAGGATGGGAGTGATCAATGGGGACGTGCGGGTGGATGCAGCTGTGACAGGCGTTCCGCATTTTAGTATCACAGCAAACTGGTAAGAGGAAATCACGGAAATTTGAGCTTGCAGCCATGTTACCATTGAGCCTATGCACCCTTCCCAGATTGAGACTCCACTTCTCTCACTTTGGTAGAGTCTTCCTATGAGTTGTAAATAGGAAGAGTGCGCAGAAGTCAATAACAGGGATCTGATAACAACGAAGCCTAGCAATGATATAGCGGTTTGGGTGCTGGTCAGGGGCTGCCAAGCCAAGGCCGTAGGTGACGCGTGAAATGTTCAGGAGGCGAGACGTTTGGACCGAGCCTAGACTTCCAGGAACTTGGGGTCGTACGCATACAGCGTGACTCAGTAAGAAAATATGAGAATTCCTTACACATACGCCGCACTGTAGTTACCACAGGAAAAGGACCAGTTCCACACTTCCACCCACCCACTAGCCAAGTTGCGTTGAATGGCGACGGACAGAAATTCGTCGCTCGGCGACAGAACTATATGTCGTTAGCGCACCCCCTCACGTCACACAACAGAGAAATGTTTCGCAATGGGTTGTCGCCGCCACCACAACGACACGCGTCGCCATTTGAAGCCAAGGCCGGTGTGGTTCGATTTTCTGTGGCACGTGGCAGTCCCGGAGAGCATTTAGCCGTTGGATCAACTATCTTCTTTCAAATGGAGGGCAGGAGCAGGCCACCACCGTCAGCTTCCCAACTCAGCCAAACCGAACAGATCTCCAAATTTTAGGTACCAGTTTGAACCGATCTAATGCTGGATTCTGCTGAAGCGGATCATAAAGCAATTTTCTGGAGCCTTCTCCCACACGTCCTTATTCAACGTCAGGTCCTTATCTCGCCATTCATGTCCTCCGCTTCCGCGTTGCAAGTTTTTCGATTGGGGGATTGGTGTGGGACTGTGGGAGGGAGCTTGTTTCCGCTCAGAAACAAGCTTCGTTCGAAGAACCTAACGGTCACCGCGATTCGTCAGAATACCCGGCTGTAGATGGCGATTACAGAACACTGTGCACATTTCGAGCCGCCGATGTCGAGCGGCACGGCGTGGGGGACAATCCTCAGTCCTGCTGTCTTTTCCGCACATGGCGACATCGCACTGTTTCGCACTCCCTCAAGCGTCGCACGAATTTCAGGCATCGACTACCGACGTAATGGAGAGTGGCAGCTCTACTCGTACCGGCATCGTACAGTAGCAATACGTATCATCCGATCTACTACTAAAGCTGTGTATGATCCAGACTGAAACTTTTCGCGACGGTTATTGAGCGAAGCGCACTGCTGCGAAAGGACGTGCCACCCACACTCAGTATCAGTACAGTTACGTCTCTTCCGCAGGATGCGGAGCTCTCGGGGAATGATGCTGATCGCGACTCGTCACGGACAGGGCAAGTCAATTAGATTCGTCGATCGAATCTTTTGTCGTGATCACCCATTCCGGAATGAGAGGCTCCCAGCACAGGCTGATCCGTCCGCGTCGCTTTCTCATATATTCCGGCCTCGGGCTATCATTCCTAACGGCCACGTTTCGATTTTCAACGGGAGGAAGGAAAGAAAAAGAAGGAATAGGCGTTTCGTTCCCAGTGCTGCTGCTGATCGCTCGCTCTTCGTTCAATGCTGATCTACTGATTACACGCCGGTGACACTTCGATTGCTGATCGAGGCAGGAACTCTCTTTCTCAACCTAGGTCGATCGCCCTACTGCGGTATCACGTAAGAGAATTCTAACTTCAGCGGAACCTGGGGTTTTCACACTTCCAAATCAGCGCGAGGGTGTTGCATGACGAATCCAGCAGCAGCATCGGTACTACCACAACTGCTAGTAGTAGCGAAGCCGCGACAGCCCTCTAAGAGCCACGCGAGATTCGATCAAGTTTCTGCATGACCATAACGAGATTTGGTGCTGAGCACAAGAGCACGTAACTATCACGAAAACAAAAGAAACAACCGCTCCGCAATGGAGGCTTGTGATTATATCGAGTTCGGTCTCCCCGGATCCGTGCTGTACCGGGGCTTTCTCCTGATCGGACCCTCAAGGTCCCAGCACCACCAGCGTACGACGAGAACCACCCGTAGGCACGATCGGTTCTGGATCCAGCGAGAGCGCACCGTCCTCCTTCTCCTCCTTCTCATCCTTCTCGTCCTTCTCCTCGTCTTCGTTTTCACCGATTTCAAATAATCAGTCTGGGCGAGATCAGGAAGACGCCACGATCCTCCACCCGATCTCCACGTGGAATGACGTTCCGATTCGCCCCGCTGATTCATCCCCCGCTTTATCTGACGGCGGCGGCGGCGGCGGCGGTGTTAGCTTCGCGCAAGCGTTGCAGAGATCGATTGGTGAAAAAAGTTGTGCAACGGAAGCGGCGGGAGTGAGGGGTCCGGATTTGATCAGGGCGGGGGAGGTTCCAGATTTGATCAGCGCGGGCGAGAGCGTTTCTATGGTGTGCTGCACGCCGCGAAACTCGTGGGTGCAAGTCGAGGCGGCTTATAACGAGGCGTGGCACCCCCTGCGCGTTCGCCAGGTGGACGGGTTACCTGCTCATTACAGTCACAATCTCGATTGGAACCTCGGGATCATCCCGCACACGTGCTCCTGCCGCCAAGGGGACAACATGATCGAAGGGAATCCTCAGTCTGAATCTGGCAATCGCAAGTCGTGTGACACGGCATGCGACAATGTGGGCGGCAAGGCGTGCGACGGCGCGTGCGACCAGCACGCCCCTTTAGAGGTGATCGAAATCGGGCGTGGGGAGGCTCGAGTGGGGCAGGTGTATCTGGTGAAGCCGCTGCTCGCGTTCCTCGTCGTCAGCCCCGATCTCGAGTCCTCCTGGAAGATCGTGGCCGTAGATTCGTCGGATTCGATGGCTGCGGCGCTGCTGGATTCGCGAAGTGGTTACCCGGTTTGGTTGGAAGCGAAGCTGCGCGAAATAGTGGAGTGGCTGAAATACTACAAGTGTAACACCATGTGTAAGTGGAGCCTCCTCTCTCTCTCGCATGAGCAAATGTTTTTCCATCAATAATAATAACTGACGCGTGAAGTGCACATGTCAGTGCACATGTCACCTCACCTCACCTCCCTCGCCACCTCAGTTCCCACTGGGTAGCGAGGCGCTACAACCGAACTATGCACCTCCCTAATACCCCTTCCATGCTCTCTCATGCCCTGCTCCCTGCCTCCTCCCTCCCTCTTACCCACCCTGATCTCCCCAGTCCCCCACCCTCTTCCGTTTTCTCTCACCGATCTTTTGTCTGTTGTCCTTCCCCCTGTCCCTCATCCCCTTACCCCTTCTACCCCCTTTCCTTCCCCCGCAAACCCCACCCCTCCCCCCCTTTTCCAGTCGATCTGCCCAGCACCATCGCGGGTTGTGAAAAGCCAGCGCCCTTGCATGGCACCTATTATGCTCCCCCCGCCTCACCTCGCCCGCATTCCTCCCCACCCCTTCCCACTCCTCCCCACCACTCCCTTCCACTCCCCACCCCTTCCCACCCCTTACCCCCCACCCCAGTTGATCCGCCCAGCCCCATCGTGGGTCGTGAGAAGCCAGCGCCCTTGGGTGGTCTCACTCATTTCTCCCCTTCACCCCACCCACCCCCCCCTCCCACCAGTTGATCCGCCCAGCACCATCGCGGGTCGTGAGAAGCCAGCGCCCTTGCATCGCACCATCGCCGCCATCAGCGCCGCCCATGCTGCCTGGACGCACTGCCACCGCCGCCGCCAGTGCTTCTCCTGCTGCCGCACCAACACCACGAGAAGCAGCAGCTGCAACATCAGCGGGAGCAGCTGCAGCAGTGGCGGTGGCGGCAGCACAGGCAGCAGCATTGGGAGGGGCGGCGTTGCACTGAAGGATCTGAGGCAGCTCGCAGAGCAAACGGCCTCCGCTGCTCTCACCAACGCCATCTCTGAATTCGCCCGCGTGCCCTTCGCCGAACCTGCCTCCGTTGTTGCCGCCGCTGCTGATGCTGATGCCGCTGTTGCTGCTGGTGCTGCTACTGGTGGTGGTGGTGGTGCGGCTGCTGTTGCCGAGCCTCTGCAGGCTCGGAAGCAGCAACGCGTGTTCCGAAGGTCAGGCTCGGAGCCGGGCAGGTTTGGCATGCGAAAGAAGGCAATTTTCATCAAAATCGAGGAGGAAGCGGATGATGCTAGCAAGTTGGTAACCAGAATCAAGGACACTGGGGAAGAGGAGCGTACATATGCAAGAGAGAGCAGTGGTGGGGGAGAGGAGTGGGAGAGAGGAGGTGAGGAAGCATGGGGTGGATGTGATGATGCAGAAAGGCAGATGAAAGAAAAGCAGCAGCATAAGAAGCAGAAGCTGGGAGGTTTGGCGCGTTTGAAGGAGCGGTGGCAGCAGCAGCGGCAGCTGCAGCAGGGGAAACTGCAGGAGGAAAAGCCGCAAGAGCAGCAGCAGCAGCAGCAGCAGCAGCAGAACCGCCAGCAGCAGCAGCAGCGCCAGAAGCATGAGGAGGGGACGCAGCAGGGAAGGAACCTGACAAGGCACTGGCGATCGTCCTCGTCCTGTGCTCTCGAGATTCCCACCGGAATGCTGCTAGACCCCCCCTCCCCTGTCACTCGCTCCCACAACCCCTCCCCCTTGACTCGCTCCGCCTCTTCTTTCCTACGCCAATGCCAACCTCTCACGCCTTCCTCCTTGCCGGGTCCCCCCATGCCTCCTCTCACCCCTCGCCGCCTTCTGCGTGCCTTCTCTCTCTCCTCCTCCTCCCACAGGCAGCCGGTGTCACAGTCTATATTAAGCAGCAGCAGCAGCAGCAGCAGCTGTAGTAGCAGTGCTAGCAGTAGCAGCAGCTTCAGCAGCAGCAGCAGCAGCTGCAATGCAATTAACACCAACATTCATCCCAACACAAGCATCAACATCATCAGCAGCAGCGCCACCAACAGCACGCAAAAAAAGAGTCGATTGCCTTCCCTTCGCATCCTCATCCCCCCTCCTGTCTTAGACGCCCCACCCACAACCCCTCCCCAAGAAATTCCCTCCACTTTCCTTGATTCGGCCTATTCTCCCTTGAAACCGCCCCCCGGTATGGCCGCTCCTTTGCCCTCTCCCACGCCTTCATCCTTGCCTTCTTCCCTGCCCTCCTCCATGCCCTCTCTTTTCTCCTCGTCCTTTCTCTCTCCCTTCTCCTCCGCCTCTTCGGTCTCTCCGTTCAGTTCGGTTCAAAGGAACTCCACTCCTGTTGGGAGAGGAGGGAGGTATGACTTCCTAACGCCCTTCACTTCGGCTCGCATAAGCTCTTCCCCTGTTGGGAGAGGAGGGAGGTACGACTATCGGCGGCCAATATCTGCTCAGACTGAATGGGAGTCTGAAAAATCGCCTGGAAGGGCTGGGAAGCTGGTAAGATGTGGCAAGTCGGGGGAGGTTGGCAAAATATGCGCCGCTTCCGTTGAGAGAGGGGGGAGGTACGACTATCGGCGATCAATATCTGCGCACACCGAGTGGGAGTCCCAAAAACCGCCTGGGAAGGCTGGGAAGCTTGAAAGGTGTGGCAAGTCGGGGGATGCTGGTGTGAGTCTGCTGCCTCATACCCCACTTGAGAAGCGAGGTGCATATGCCCTGCCTGATTCACTGGAAGAGCAGGTTGGGCTGCCCACGACACCGAGAGCAGGATCTAATCTTCCTGGATTTTCAAAAGGACGCATTGGGCTGCCGAGAACGCCGAGAACGCCGAGAGCGCCGAGTTTGCCTAACACGCCCAACAAGGTGAAAGCAACGGAAACGCCGAGAACGGCGAAAACGCCCAACACGGTCAAATCCCCTGAAGCGTGCAGTGATGTGCCGCTGATGACTGCGTGGCGGCTGCTCGATGCCGATGCCACCCCGTGGCTGAATGCTCCCACAGGACACTGTGTGTCGGCTGAAGCCTCTCATGAGATGCCGGAAACTGCCAACACAGTCAACACGGTCAACACCCCCAAAGCGTGCAGTGAGCAGCAGCTGATGACTGCGTGGCGGCGCCTCGATGGCAATGCCACCCCATGGCTCAATGCTGATGTCACCCCGTGGCTGAATGCTCCCACAGGACGACGTGTGTTGGCCCAAGCCTCTTATGAGATGCCGGAGATGGCCAACACGGGCGACACGGTCAACACCCCCGAGGGACGCAGTGAGGTGCCGCTGATGACCGCGTCGCGGCTGCTCGATTCTGAAGTCACCCCATGGCGGGTCAACACCGTGCCACATGGAGACTGCTTGGGCCGCCATGTGTTGGCTGAAGGCTCTCCTGAGACGCCGGAAACTGCCAACACCCCCGAGGCACGCAGTGAGCAGCAGCTGATGACCGCGTGGCGGCGCCGGCTGCTCGATGCTGATGCCACCCCATGGCTCAATGCCGATGCCAACCCATGGCTCAATGCTGATGCCACCCCATGGCTCAATGCTGATGTCACCCCGTGGTGGCTCAATGCCATGCCGCATGGAGACCGCATGGGCTTCCGTGCTTTCGCTGAAGGTTCTCGGACGGATTTTGGCGAGGGGAGTGGGAGGAGGAGCGGAGGTAGGAGGCGGCTGTGGGTGGTGGGTAGTGAGAACCCTGTGGATGAGAGGAGGGTTAACGGTGGTAGGGTCGATAGGAGTTCCAAAAGTGGTAGGGGTGACAGGGAAGGGTGTGGTGGTCAGGGAAGCGGGAGGAGGAGAGGAGGAGCGAGGAGGCAGCTGGTGGTGGTGGGTGATGAGAGGGCAGTGGATGAGAGCTGTGATAGGGTTGATAGGAGTTCTAAGAGAGGTAGGAGTGACAGGGAAGGGTGCGGTGGTCAGGCATGTGGGAGGAGGACAGGAGCTAGGAGGCAGCTGTGGGTGGTGGGTGATGAGAGACCTGTGGATGGGAGCAGTGATAGGAATGATACGGGTGATAGGGGTGGTAGGAGTGATGAAAGTGATAGGAGTGGCATGGAAGGGTGTGGTGGCGGTGGTGGCGAGGGGAGTGGGAGGAGGACAGGAGCTAGGAGGCAGCTGTGGGAGGTGGCTGATGAGAGGGCAGTGGATGAGAGCAGTGACAGGGGTGATAAAAAATATAGGAGTGATAGGGAAGGGTGTGGTGGCGGTGTAATTGGTGGTGCTTCTGGTGCTGCTGCTGGTTCTGCTGGTGCTGGTGCTGCTGGCAGTGGTGGAGGTGGTGACGCGACTGCTGCTTTCAGATCACTTGAAGCAAGAGATACAGCACAGCGGCTCAGCAAGGCGGATGAAGCTGCCGGAAGCAATGGTGACGGCAGCAACGGGTTACCAAGGCACACAGTCAACAGAGGTGGTGGTGGTGGTGGTGGTGGTGGTGCTGGTGCTGGTGCTGGTGCTGCTGCTGCTGCTGCTGCTGCTGCTGCTGCTGCTGCTGCTGCTGCTGCTGCTGCTGCTGCTGCTGCTGCTGCTGCTGCTGCTGCTGCTGCTGCTGGTGCTGCTGCTGCTGCTGCTGCTGCTGCTGCTGCTGCTGCTGCTGCTGGTGCTGCTGCTGCTGCTGGTGCTGCTGCTGGTGCTGCTGCTGGTGCTGGTGCTGGTGGTGGTGCTGGTGCTGGTGCTGCTGCCGCTGCTGGTGCTGCTGCTGCCGCTGCTGGTGCTGCTGCCGCTGCTGGTGCTGCTGCCGCTGCTGGTGCTGCTGCCGCTGCTGGTGCTGCTGCCGCTGCTGGTGCTGCTGCTGCTGCTGGTGCTGCTGCCGCTGCTGGTGCTGCTGCCGCTGGTGCTGCTGGTGCTGGTGCTGCTGCTGGTGCTGGTGCCGCTGGTGGTGAGAAGGGCGGCGGCAACAGCAGGATGCGCAAGGCAGTGCTGAGGCTGTTCGGGAAGAGCCGGGGGAAATGGCAGAGCCAGATAGTGCCTTTACCAGACCCCCCTGCCCTGCATGAATCAATGCCTCAGTCGCTTAAAAAACCGCCTCATAAGGGCCAGACCCAGGTCACACCTTCTCCAGATCCCCCTGCCCTGCATGACGCAATGCTTGGGCCTGGGGGGACGGCAGCTGGTGGGGTGGCAGCTGGTGGGACGGCAGCTGGTGGGGCGGCAGCTGGTGGGGCGGCAGCTGGTGGGACGGCAGCTGGTGGGGCGGCAGCTGGTGGGGCGGATGCAGGTGGGGCGGATGCAGGTGGGGCGGATGCAGGTGGGGCGGATGCAGGTGGGGCGGATGCAGGTGGGGCGGATGCAGGTGGGGCGGATGCAGGTGGGGCGGATGCAGGTGGGGCGGATGCAGAGAGAGTTCTCTGTGCTCCTGCTGCAACCGATGCAGACAGATCGCCACGCAAAGCGACTCTGAACAGCGCCGCTGTTGGCAGCAGCAGAAGCAACAGCGGTAACACGGATTTCAGTGTTATCAGCAATAGCAGTCGCAGCGCCAGCAACATTATCAAGTCAGCAGCAGTGCTGGTGGCGAGTCAGTCATTGCCGGTAAAGGCAGGGATTGCTTTTGGGACGTCTCAAAAGGAAGCAGCAGCAGCAGCAGCAGCAGCAGCAGCACCAGCACCAATAACAGAGCTGGTGGCGGGCCAGCCATTGCCGGTCAAGGCAGGAATTGCTCTCGCATGTATTCTTGCTGCTGCCATTGCCCTCCTTCCCCCTGCTACAATCCCTGCTTCTGCTGCTACAGGCACTGCTGCTACAGGCACTAGTGCTACAGTCACTAGTGCTACAACTGCTGCTGCTACAACTCTTGCTGCTACAACCGCTGCTGCTACAATTGCTGATGCTACAACCACTCCTGTGACAGCCACTTCTGCGACAGCCACTTCTGCTACAGCCACTGCTGCTGCTTCTCAGTTGCAGCAGAAGCAGCAGAAGAGCGAGGAGGATTGGAGCAACATGGCTGGAAGGGGTATGGGACTCGAAGAGGAAGAGAGGGAGGAGGAAGAGAGGGAGGAGGAAGAGAGGGAGGGGGAAGCGAGGGAGGGGGAAGAGAGGGAGGGAGAAGAGAGGGAGCGGGAAGAAAGGGAGCGGGAAGAGAGGGAGGGGGAAGAGAGGGAGGCGGAAGCAAGGGAAGTCGAAGAGGGAGAGGAGGCAGAGGAGAAGCAGCAGAAGGGTGTGGAGGACATGGCTGAAATGGTTGCGGAGATTGGGGAGGAAGAGAGGAAGGAGGAAGCGGAGGCGGAAGAGGAGGAGCAGCAGAAGAGCGAGGAAGGGTGGAGGGTCGTGGGTGAGAGGGGTACAGCACTTAGGGAGGAAGAGGGGGAAGAGGAAGCAGAGGAGGAAGAGGAGGGGCAGCAGAGGAGCGAGGAAGGTTGGAGGGATGTGGGTGAGTTTGGTACAGAGCTTTGGGAGGAAGTGAGGGAGAACGGGGACGAGGAGAAGCATAAGGGTGAGGAGGGGGAGGAAGAGGAGGAGGAAGTTGGTGATGGGTGTGCTTATAACGAAGCCCTTGCTGAGTGTGTGTATGGGGATGATCCCTCGTTGAGTGGGTATGATCCTTCATTGAATGCTCTCCGGGAAGACACTTACAGCACGGATGACTGGAGCACTACAGACGACTGTAGTTGCAGATACGGCTGGAGCAGCAGAGGCAGCTGTAGCAGCAGAGACGGCTGTAGCAGCAGAGGCGGCTGTAGCAGCAGAGGCGGCTGGAGCAGCAGAGGCGGCTGTAGCAGCAGTTGGAGCAGCAGAGCCAGTGTCTTCAAACGAGCTTTGCAGCTCCGCAACAGCACAAGCAGTGCAAACCTGACGTGCAGTCTGTTGGGCGTGGGGAGTGTGGGGAGCATTGGGAGTGCGAGCTTGGTGTGTGAGCGCATCTTGAGTGTGTGTGACGTCTCACCTGTGCCCATCATCCTCTCCTCCCACCTGGGCAGCACTGACGTTGAGGCCATGCCGTCCTGCCTTGTGCACCTACTAGCAGCATCAGCAGCACCTGGAATGTCAGCAGCAGCAGCAGCAGCAGCAGCCCAACAGGCGGGTGCTTCGAGAAGGCTCCACCACACCTCCACCTGCCCTCTCTCCGAAGGGCTGCTGCCTGTGAAGATTGTGAATTGAACAAGTAATAAGATTAGAGGAACAACCTAGCATACATAGTTGGAAGGGAAGGTTGGAAAGGAAGGATGAAAGTGACCATAGGTTGGGTTGACCTCACTTGGGGAAGTGAGGGAACCATAGGTCAAGTGGGTTGGGTTGCCCACACTTTGTAGAAGTGAGGCAACCCTAGGCCCACTTGGCTTGGGGTAACCTCAATTGTGGGAAGTGAGGTACCCACAAGTCAAGAGGGTTGCATTTGGGGGCTCCACCACAATTGGGTGGATTGGCACCCCAAAGTGCAAGACTACACCCAAAGTTGGGTGTAGTCTCAACCCAACTGTACACCACAATTGGTGTACAGTCACATGTGTTGGCATGCTACACAATATATATTTTAACACAACCCCTTAGCATGCTAACACAAGAAGAGAACAACCCCTGAATCAAGGGGCGCCCGGGCGAGCAAGGCCAATGAGGCGGAGGAAGGCAGAGTGCGCGGGGCGAAGGAGGGCCTTAGTGAAGATGTCGGCCAAGTTGGCCTCGGTTGCAATCTTGCGAACGGCAATGAGGCCCTTCTGGACGAGCTCGCGAACGAAGAAGTAGCGGAGTTCGATGTGCTTGGAGCGGGCGTGATAGACGGGGTCCTGAGTGAGATGGATGGTGCTGGCGTTGTCGCACCAGAGAGTGGGGCACGTCTGGGGGGCGCCAAGCTCCGCAAGAAGGAAGCAGAGCCAGCGCGACTCCTGGGCGGCCATGGTGCCAGCGTAGAGCTCGGCTTCGCAGGTGGAGAGAGAGATGGCGGAGGAGCGGGTGGAGCGCCAGCTGATGAGGCCGCTGCCAAGGGTGAAGCCGTAGCCCTGGGAGGAGCGGCGGTCCGGCTGCGTGTCAGCCCATGAGGAGTCACTGAAGCCCGAGAGAAGGGGACGGGAAGGGCCGCCGAGGGTGAGGGCAAGGTCCCTGGTCCCGCGAAGGTAGCGGAGGACCCGCTTGGCAGCTTTCCAGTGCTCCTCAGAGTGACGACCGGTGCCGACAAAGCGAGCGAGCACGCTGATGGGGTAGGCGAGGTCGGGGCGGGTGCACATCATTGCGTACATCAAGGACCCAACGAGCTCGGCATAGGGGTGGGGGGAGGAGGTGGGGGAGGTGGGTGGAGCGAGTTGGTGACCGAAGGGGAGCGGGGTGGAAACAGGCTTGGCTTGCGCCATGTCGAACTTCTCCAAGACCTGGCCGATGTAATGGGACTGGGAGAGGGTGATTGTGCGAGCAGGGCGGTTGCGCGTGATGGTCATGCCGAGGTAGTGACTGAGGGCGCCAAGGTCCTTGCACTTGAGCCGCTGCTGCAGGGACAGCTTCACCTGCTCCATGTCGGCCTTGGTGTCAGAGAGCAGGATCATGTCGTCGACATATACCAGAATGAAGAAGCGGCGGGGGGAGGAGCGGATGAAGAGGCTGGCGTCGGAGTGGGAAGCAGAGAAGCCGAGGGACCCCAAGGTGGCAGCCAGCTTCGCATGCCACTCACGTGGTGCCTGCTTCAAGCCGTAGACGGGGCGACGCAGCTGCCAGACAGTGTTCTCAGGAAAGGCTGCGTGGAACCCGGGGGGTCGCCGGAGGAAAATGCGCTCATGCAGGTCGCCCTGCAGGAACGCATTGGAGACGTCCATGGAGTCGATTTCCATGTCGTCACGTGCACCAATGTCCATGGCGGCGCGAAGGGTGGGTGGTTTGGCGGTGGGGGCGTAGGTGAACCAGTAGTCCTCAGCCCAAGTCTGCGTGAACCCCTTGGTGCAGTAGCGGGCCTTGTACACTGGTTCCTCGCCCGGCAGCTGCTTCACCCGAAAGACCCATTTGCCGTCAACGAGATTAGCGCCAGCAGGGAGGGGGACATCGACAAAGGAGTCGTTGCGAATGAAGGCCTCACACTCCAGGAAGATCGCTGCTATCCATTTATCCGCATCAGGGCAGGTGATGGCTTCCTGGAAGGTGGAGGGAGTGAAGATGGTGGGGGTAGTAGTGGCGCCAAGGACAGGAAAGCCCAGGAAGTCAAGGTAGAGGGCGGCAAGGAATGGAGTGTGCTCCCGAATGTTGAGGAACTCCTCATGGGAGTCCTCAAGGAGCTGAATGGAGGCAGGAGGAGGAGCCCCAAGGATTTTGTCCACAGAGCGGGTATGGATGTAAGGGAGGAGGAAGGGGGAGGAACGGGAAGTGGCACGACGCCGCTGCTGCTGCTGGTGCTGCGGAAGCTGCTGCCCTTGTTGCTGCGGCTGCGGCTGACCGTGCTGGTGCTGCGGCTGCTGAGGCTGCTGAGGCTGCTGCTGCTGCTGCTGCCGCTGCTGCTGCTGCTGCTGCTGCTGCTGCTGCTGGTGCTGCTGCTGTCCCGGCTGCCGCTGCTGCTGCTGCTGCTGGCCCGGCTGCTGCTGCAGCTGCTGCTGCCCCGGCTGCTGTCCCGGCTGCTGCTGCTGCTGCTGCTGTTGCTGCTGCGGCTGCTGCTGCTGCTGCTGCTGCTGCTGCTGATCCGGCTGCTGGAAGGAGGGAGAGGGAGAGGAGGAGGGAGGGGGGGGGAGGGGGTGCGGCCGAGTGAGCGGGGGAAGCGGGTGCAGCAGGGTCGTAGACATCGGCGGAGGAGGAGGGCGGGAGCGGAGCTGCGACGGGTGGGAGGAGAGGGGCTGGAGGGAGAAGGGGCGGGAGGACGGTGTCGGTCCAAGCAAGGGGACGAGTGGGAGGAGGGAGAGGATCAGGGGGAGGAGTGGAGTAATAGGGGACGGATTCGTCGAAGACGACGTCGCCGCTGCGGATGAGGCGATTGGTGGGAGGGTGGAGGAAGAGGTAGCCTGGGGAGTCGCGATTGTGCCCAAGGTAAACGCATTCCAGGGCGCGAGGAGCAAGCTTGCCAGCGGCGCGGGTGCGGTCGGCGGGTGGGATGAGAACGAAGGCCTTGCAGCCCCAAACGCGAAGGCCGGCAGCGTCGGGTTTGGCGTTGGACCAAAGCTCTGTAGGGGAGGAGGAAGGATGCTGAGGGTGGGAGCGGAGATTAAGGAGAAGAGCGGCGTGGAGGAGGGCATAGCTCCAGAGGGAAGGAGGGCTGGAGGCATGAGCAATGAGACAGCGAGCTATCTTGGTGATCTCACGAATGCGGCTCTCAGCAATGCCGTTCTGCTGAGGGGAGTGGGGAAGGGTGGAGGTCTGTTGGATGCCGTAGGTGTTGCAGTATGTGGCAAGGGTGTTATTGATGAACTCACCCCCACCGTCAGAGTGAAGGCGGCCGATGGGGCGTTTGAAGTGATTGCGGCACTGTTCGGCCCAGTTGATGACCACTGCCGGCACCTGGTCTTTCGTGTGAAGGAAGAAGGTGGTGGAGTACCGGCTGTGGTCGTCAACGAGGACGAGCATGTACCGATGCCCCTGGCGGGAGCGGATGGGATAGGGGCCCCAGAGGTCCATGTGCACAAGGTCAATGGGGGCGGCGGCGAAGGTGGGATGACTGTGGTGGGGGGACTGTTTGAGCTTGCCGTGAATGCATGAAGGGCATGGGGGAGAGGGGGAGGAGGGGAGGGGAGGTAAAACAGGAGGAAGGCTGCGGAGGAGGCGAGAGGTGACTGTGGTGCGAAGGGCGGTGAAGTTGGGATGGCCGAGTCTGTGGTGTAAGAGGACAGCAGGGTGGGAGAGGGTAGTGGAGGAGGAGGGAGATGGGGTGATGGAAGGAACGGGAGGGGAGGAGGAGGATGGTGGGGAGGGAGAAGAGGATACTTGAGGGGGAGGGGAAGGGGGAAGTAAAGGAGGAGGAGGTGGACCGGTGGAAGCACCGGAACGAGTGGTGACGTGGCAGAAGGATGGGCGAGGCGTGCGGAGTGTGTAGAGGCGAGTGCGGGTGCAAAGCGGAATGCGGAGAAGGAAGCGACGGGAGGAGGTTTGGTAGAGATCACAGTAATTGGCATAACCGGGGTAAATGGCAGTGATACCAACACCTTGGAGCTCACGGTGGGAGAGGAGGTTGTTGCGGAGAGTGGGGATGTGGAGACCTGTGACCTTACCGGAGGGGAAGGCAGTGCAAGGGAGGGTGGAGAGGTGAGTGCATGGAATGGAAAAGCTGGAATCAGCCCCATGAACCTGAGTGGGAAGTGGTAGTGGGGTGAGAGTGCCAGCGTCTTTCAGTGCGGTTTCAGTGGCTCCACTGTCAAGGACAAAGTCCAGGGTGGGAGAAGAGGGAGGAGGGGGTGGGACGGGGTACTGAAACGAAGTCTCATTGATAGTAGAGGGATACATGGCAGCGACGGACGGTGCAACACTGATATTACCAAGGAAACTACCAGAAGTGTCGGGAACACTGGGGGGGGCAGAGGGGAGGGAACCCCAGGGGGGAGGAGGAGGAAGGGAGGTATGAGCGGCCATGGCCGCTGTGCCGAAGGTGAGTGGCTGCTGCTGCCAGGGTGGGGGAAGGAACTGCTGCTGCTGCTGCGGCGGTGGCTGGAAGAACTGCGGCGGCGGCGGCTGCTGGGGCTGGAGAAACTGCGGCTGCTGCTGCTGCTGGTGAAAGTACAGGTGCTGCTGCTGCTGGTGCTGCTGAAACTGCTGCAGCTGTGAGGGTGGGGAGGGGGTAACCATGCGGAGGTGAGCAGGAAGGAAAGAGGGAAGGGTTTGAATGTCCACTAAGGAGGGGCGAGGTGTGACCGAGTTCCAGCGAGGAGGGGTGCCAGTGTTGCCGCGATCAAACCAGGCGTCGTCGAGTGCCTTAAAGCACGTGGTGGGGGGATGGTTGGTCTGGCCGCAAGGGGTACCTGCATGGGGACCATGGCGACGCACATATGTGCATGGGGGGAGAGTGCCAGGGCGTCCGTCTCGAGTCACAGCACCTCCAGCAGGGGCGCTGCCAGCACCACCACCACCACCGCCACCACGGCCACCACGGCCACCACTACCACCACCGCCACCACCACGGCCTCCACCACCACCACCGCCACCCGCTCCACGGCCTCCGCCGCCGCCGCTGCGACCACCCTGGTTGCGCGGCTGCGTAGCGTTGAGGGAGGTGGAGGAGGAGGACTGAGGGGTGGAAAGGTTGACAACGGGGGTGCGGAGCTTGACCTCCGTGTCAATGATCCACTGGACCACGTCGTCGAGGCCGGCCATGGGGTTGGCCTCAGTGAAGGCATGGAGGCGGGACTCGTAGTCCGGGGTGAGGTTGTAGAGGAGGCGGTGGATTTGCAGGGGCTCGGGGAGGGCAGCTTGGCGTGCCGCAAGGCGATCAGCGACCTCCTGCATGCGCCCCACGTAGTCAACTGCGCCATCACAAGTGGCGAGGGTGATGGAGAAGTACTCCTGGAACAGGGCGCCGACAGAGCTGATGTCGCGACGCTCGAACATGGCCTGGAGCTCGGCCCAGATGAGGGAGGCGCGCATCTCGCGAGCTTGGAAACGGCGCATGAGGGTATCAGGGAGTGCGCCGAGGAGGATGGTGCAGGCGCGGTTGTCAGCAGTGGCCCATGCGATGCTCCGAGGGAGGTAGTCCGCCATGGCCGTATTGTACTCATCAAGGAGCGCCAGGCGATTGGCGCGTTCCGCTACCGCGAAGTCGTGGTTATGTACCGCAACCTCATGCTCCGCCTTGCGGATGAGGTATTCGCGGCGATCGTGGAGAAATGCGGCATCGGCGGCATCTTGGAGCGCTGGGGAAGTGGCGATCTCCAAGGTGGGTTCAGGAGGAGGAGGACCAGGAGGAATGGGGGGTGGAGGGGGTTCGCCGGGGTGATTGGGTGCCGTGGGCTGGAGGGCTTGCGGGCGGCGGAGGAGGACGTCAAGGACGCAGTAGGGTCCGACGAATGCATCTTGGAGAACACGGCGGATGCTCCCGACGAAGGAATGCCAGTTGATCGCCGAGCGGTCCGCGGCAAGCTGAAGCTTGTCGACGGAGGAGGCGTCAATGGGAGGGGGGAGAGGGGGAGGAGTGGTAGCCATGAGGGGCGACGGCGGGTGGACCCGCGGCGGCCTCGAGGTGGACGGCGGCGGGTGGACCCGCGGCGGTCAAGTGGGAGGGCGACGGCGGGTGGACCCGCGGCAGCCGAGAGGGAGGAGGGGGGGGGGGGGGGGGGGGAGAGGGGGGGGGGGGGTGCTGCTGCGGGGAGTGGAGTTCTTCTCCGGCTGCTGCTGCTGCTGCCGCTGCTGCCGCTGCTGCCGCTGCTGCTGCTGAGAGGGAGGAGGGGGGGGGGGAGGGGAGGAGGGGGAGGAAGATGGTGGATGCAGCTGCTGCCGCTGCTATCGCTGCTCCTGATGCTGCCGCTGCTGCCGCTGTTGCTGCTGTGGCTGCTGAGCTGTCCCGGCTGCTGCTGCGTGGGAGGAGAGGAGGAGGAAAGGGGGAGGGGGAGGGAGAACGCAGGTGTAGCTGTGGGCGAAGCTGTTGCTGCCAATGACGCTGCTGCTGCGGGATGAGGCGGCTGCTACGAGGAACGTTCGGCGGCGGGATGCGCGGGTGGCGACGAGGGAATCGTGGCGGCGGAATGAGCGAGCGGCGACGAGGAGGGCGCGGCGGAGGGATGCGCGGGCGGCGACGGGGAAGGCGCGGCGGTGGGATGCGCGGGCGGCGACGAGGAAGGCGCGGCGGCGGGATGCGCGGGGCGGCGACGAGCAGGTCGCGGCGGTAGGATGCGGGGGCGGCGATTGTTAGGTCGCGGCGACGGGATGTGCGGGCGGCGACGAGCAGGTCGCGGCAGGAGGTCGCGCGGGCGGCGACTTTAGGTCGCGGCGGCAAGGGGTGCAGGCGGCGACGAGAAGGTCGCGGCGGCAAGGGGTGCAGGCGGCGACGAGAAGGTCGCGGCGGCGGGATGCGCAGGCGGCGACGCGAAGTCGCGGCGGCGGGTCGTGCAGGCGGCGACGCGAAGTCGCGGCGGCGGATCGTGCAGGCGGCGACGAGCGGGTCGCGGCGGCGGGATGCGTAGGCGGCGACGGGGGGTCGCGGCGATGGGGAGTGCAGGCGGCGACGCGAAGTCGCGGCGGCGGGACAGGAGGCGACGACGGGGCGTCGCGGCGGCGGGATGCGCAGGCGGCGCCGAGGAAGGCGCGGCGGCGGTGGGGGGAGGCGGCGACGCGACGTCGCGGCAGCGGGAGGGGCAGGCGACGACGGGGCGTCGCGGCGGAGGGATGCGCGGGCGACGCCGAAGTAGGCGCGGCGGCGGGAGGGAGACGGCGACGGGGGGTCGCGGCAGGGGGAGGAGGAGGCGGCGACGAGGCGTCGCGGCGGGATGTGCAGGCGGCGCCAGAGAAGGCGCGGCGGCGGAAAAAAGGGGGAGGGGGGGGGGGGGGGGGGCAGCGACGGTGTGTCGCGGCGACGGGGGGCGGTGATGCACTCGCGGCGGTGGGATCCGCAGGCGAGGAGGGCGCAATCACGGCGGAGGGAGGGGAGGGCGGCGACGACGTAGGTCGTGCCAAGGAGATGCTAGGTTGAAAAAACTTTGAGGGAGGGAGAGAAAAGGCTTAGGAACAACTAGCTCTATACCATGTGAAGATTGTGAATTGAACAAGTAATAAGATTAGAGGAACAACCTAGCATACATAGTTGGAAGGGAAGGTTGGAAGGGAAGGATGAAAGTGACCATAGGTTGGGTTGACCTCACTTGGGGAAGTGAGGGAACCATAGGTCAAGTGGGTTGGGTTGCCCACACTTTGTAGAAGTGAGGCAACCCTAGGCTCACTTGGCTTGGGGTAACCTCAATTGTGGGAAGTGAGGTACCCACAAGTCAAGAGGGTTGCATTTGGGGGCTCCACCACAATTGGGTGGATTGGCACCCCAAAGTGCAAGACTACACCCAAAGTTGGGTGTAGTCCCAACCCAACTGTACACCACAATTGGTGTACAGTCACATGTGTTGGCATGCTACACAATATATATTTTAACACTGCCCCCACTGTCTTCCCCACTGTCATCTTCACAGTCGTCTCGTGTTTTCATAACACCAGCCTTGCGAGAAGGAGCAGCAGCAGCAGCAGAAGTTGCAGGAGAAACAGAAGCAACAGAAGAAGAAGCAGCAGACTTAGAAGAGGGAGGGAAGGAGGGGCAGGAGTCACTTGAGTCTCGCTTGAGGCGATGGCATGAGAGCATGGGTGCCTCATCTGCTGCCCTCTCCCTGCCCCTCGATGCCTCCTTGCATCCCCCATCCCCCTCACATCCCCCTCCAGCCGGCCTCTTTCTGCCCGGCCTGCCCCACTGGACCAAGCGGTCGCTCCCTCGCTCGCTGCGCATCTCCCGCTCGCTGCTCTCCTTTCAAGAGAGCGCCCTGCTGGAGCACCGCCAGGAGTCCGCCCTCCTGCAGGGAAGGGTTGGCAGAGTGGACGAGGAAAACGAGGGGGGAAACCTGTCGTGGAATGGAGAGAGCAACATGGGGAGCAGTGGGGAGAGAAATGGAGGGAGCACAGCGGAGAGAAACGAGCAGAGGAGTGTGAGAGTGAAGAGCTCGCTGCTGTCAGCAGCGGCGGCAGCGGTGGCAGCGCCAGTGTCCCCCGGAGAATCCATCCGGGCGGCGGTGGCCGTCTATTCTGCCTCGAGGGAGTTCTGGTGGCCCCCCTCCACCCCCAAGCCTGTGAAACAAGCCAAGCTGTGCCTGCCCAGATACTCCCCCCCTGTGCCTCTTATTGGGCTGGAGAAGCTGATGGAGGGCGGGACTGAGGCAAGTGGGACTGGGGCAGGTGGGACTGGTGGGTTTGCTGGGCCTGGTGGGGTAAGTGGTTGGGGTTTGGGGTCAGGGTGGTGGGGTGTGGGGGAAGGGACAAGGGAGGAGGGGAGGGGGAGGAAGGAGGAGACGGGAGAAGCGGGGTGGCTGGGATTTGAAGGGTTGGCGGACGTGGCAAGGGGGATGATGTGGGGGGGAGGAGGCGATGGAGGTGGAGAGGGGGGGAAGGAGGGGGGGAAGGAGCGGGGTTTGGATGAGGGTGTAGAGAACATTCTGGGAAATTCAGTGAGAGGAGAAGAGGGGAATTGTTTTACTAGAGTGGGGGATGAGGTAGATGCTGGGGAAATTGCAGGAGAGGGGGCGTAAAGTGGTGGTTGGACAAGGCATTTGTGTCAAATGTTGTAGTCTCAATGATGTGTGTTATAGGGGGTACAACTGTTAGGGTTAGGTTTATGTACCCCAACCAACCTTAGTCAAATCCACACTTTCATTCTTGACATGGTATCACCTAGATTAGGATCCTGTGGGATTCCATTCCTCTCGTTCACGTCCGTAGCACCCGAGCCTGTCCCGTACCCTAGTGCCCGTTATGCCCGCACTGTCCCTTAGCGCCTATCGTGCTCGTCTCTCTCGTGCCCTAAAGCCCGCTGCGCCTGCCGTCGCGTCGCCCCTGTTGTCCCGTCCCGTCCCGTCGCCCCTGTTGTCCCGTCGCCCCTGCCGTCGCGTCGCCCCTGCTGTCCCGTCCCGTCCCGTCGCCCCTGCTGTCCCGTCGCCCCTGCTGTCCCGTCCCGTTGCCCCTGCCGCCGCGTCGCCCCTGCTGTCCCGTCCCATCCCGTCGCCCCTGCTGTCCCGTTGCCCCTGCTGTCCCGTCCCGTCGCCCCTGCCGTCGTGTCGCCCCTGCTGTCCCGTCCCGTCCCGTCGCCCCTGCTGTCCCGTCGCGTCGCCCCCTGCTGTCCCTTCTGTCCCGCCGCGTCGCGCCGTCCGTCCCGTCCTGTCCCGCCCGCGTCGCGCTTCCCGTCCTGTCCCGTCGCACGCGCCCCATGCGCCCTGCCCGTCCGTCGCGCCCCGTGCGCCCTGCCCGTCCGTCGCGCCCCGCGCGCCCTGCCCGTCCATCGCACCCCCGCTGCGCCCTGCTCGTCCGTCGCGCCCCCGCTGTGCCCTGCCCGTCCGTCACACCCCGTGCGCCCTGCCCGTCCGCACCTGTCGTGCCCGTCCCTACCAGTCGCATCCTGTCTCGTCGCGTCGCACTGTCTGTCACGCACTACGCAAGCCCTTTAGGCGTTCAGGGTTTCGGCAGCAGCAGTATCCACCTCTACGCTTCCGCTATGGCGACCCCTAGGGTCCTGCGCTTTGACGCTGAGGGTAGGCCTCTCGAGTTCTCGGTCTGGCTCCTGCATGCGCGCCGCCTCCTAGAGAGCCAGGTTCAGGCACACGAGACTCTGTGGGCGTACGCTTCCGGTGACATACCTGAGCCCGCTGGCCCTGCACCCTTAGCAGCTGACCCCACACCTGCAGACAGTGACCGTTATGCATTCGAGCATGCTGACATGACAGTGTGGAAGTCGCGTGACGCTGCGGCCTGCATCGCCCTCAGCAGCCTCCTCCCTGAGTCTGAGGAGACCCACTTCACTCAAGTTCGTACGGCTAGTGAGTTCTTGACTGCGATCAAGGCCCGCTACGGTACTCCCACCACTGTCTCTCTTGGTCGCCTGTTCCTTCCGTTCCTGTTTCCTAACCTCGCCTCGTTTGAGCGCACTGCTGACTTGATCACTCATCTGCGCTCGCTCGATTCTAGCTACCGCGCTGCTTGCACTGACGCACAGCTTGCACTGCTCCCTCCCCCCATGGCGATTACTATCTATTTCATCGCCACTAGCCTCCCTGACTGCCTTGCCTCGGTTCGTGACGCGCTTCTTCTGAAACACCCTAGCGAGCTCACTATCGAGGTCCTTGAGTCGGCCCTCAAGAACGTCGAGAGCAACCTCCGCTCGGTAGCCTCTGCCTCTGGTGCTGTGCCCCCTCCACTGTTCCACGGGTGCACTGTCCCTCAGCTGCCCACATTCACTGCCTCCCTCGCCACTGCCGCTACTGACGTGACCGCAGTTGCTGTTACGACTTCTTCGCGGTCTCGGGTCAGGAGTGGCAGGAGGGGCGGTCAGGGTGCGGGCGGAGGCGGCGGAGACGGTGGGGGTGGCGTGGCGAGCGGCGGCGGCGGGAGTGTAGGGGCTGGAGGAGCGCCTCGTGCAGCGGCCGGTGACTCGCCTGCTGCAGCTGGTGGAGGTGAAGCCCGGGTTCGTCAGCCACCTACTGGTCTGCCAGCCGTAGGGGGTGGATCAGCGGCGTGGTACCGGACTTAGCGACAGCAGCAGCAGCCCCTCCCCTGGCAGTAGCCACAGCAGCAGCAGCAGTGGTAGCAGCAGGTTTCGAGGCAGGGGTCAGGACAGCGTCAGCTGCAGCGCGGTGTCGTCCACCCTCCCTGCACCTATCACGTTCTGACAGGTACCTGCCGCGGCCAGCCTTGTGGCCGCAGCCACCCACCGGGTCAGTTCTTTGCTCAGCTTACTGACACGGTTCGATTGGCCTACGGCATTGACAGCCCTGCCCCTGACTGGCTTCCCCTTCTTCAGACGTACGGCTCCGCTCTGTGGGGCATGTCGGCTTCACAGTTGGTTGATCTCTTAGGAACTTCTCATGCTATGTATGCTGTTGTTGACTCTAGTGCTTGTCAAACATTATATATGTTATGTTAGTTTAGGCTACAGTGGGTTAGCCTATAGGGGGTACACAATTCTAGGGTTAGGTACTTGTACTCTTTTCATTGCTAGTTCATTCATTCCTGTTCAGTAATTCCAACATGGTATCAGAGCAGGTCCTTCCTAGGACCGAAATTTTCTAAGGGCCCACCACTACGTAACTACCTACCTACCTACCTACCCGTGCCCTAGGGCGCCTCGGCGTGTCTCGCCCCTAGAGGCCCCTCTTGACGGCCCCGCGCTAGCCCCGTTCAGGCCCCGTCGGCCCCTTTAAGGCCCCGTTCAGGCCCCGCGCTAGCCCCGTTTAGGCCCCGTCGGCCCCGTTTCAGGCCCCGTCGGCCCCACGCTAGCCCCTCTCAGGCCCCGTCGACCCGCGCTAGCCCCGTTTCAGGCCCCGTCGGCCCCTTTTCAGGCCCCGTCGGCCCCGCGCTAGCCCCTCTCAGGCCCCGTCGGCCCGCGCTAGCCCCGTTTCAGGCCCCGTCGGCCCCGTTTCAGGCCCCGTCGGCCCCGCGCTAGCCCCTCTCAGGCCCCGTCGGCCCGCGCTAGCCCCGTTTCAGGCCCCGTCGGCCCGCGCTAGCCCCGTCTCAGGCCCCGTAGGCCCCGCGCTAGCCCCTCTCAGGCCCCGTCGGCCCCGCGCTAGCCCCGTTTCAGGCCCCTTCGGCCCCGTTCAGGCCCCGTCGGCCCCTTGCTAGCCCCGTCAAGGCCCCGTTTGGCCCCGCGCTAGCCCCGCTCAGGCCCCGATCGGCCCCGCGCTCGCCCCTCTAGGGCCCCAACCGGCCCCGTGCCTACCTCGCCGACCCGTGCCCACCACCCAGAGGCCCCGGGCGGCCCGTTCCCGCCGCAGCACAAGAGGGAGAGCGGGCGGCCCGTCCCCGCCGTGACCTGAGCCGAGCCGCGCGCCCCGAGCCGAGCCGCGCCACCCAGCCGAGCCGCGACCCGACCTGAACCGAGCCGCGCCGCCCTGCCCTACCTGGTTCGTCCTACCTGCTTCTCCTACCGCTACTGCTGCTATTTCTACTGTTCCTATGGCTAGCCCACAGGTTCTCGTGTTCGATGCTGAGGGCCGCCCTGTGAAGTTTGACACCTGGCTCGATGACCTGCACCTTTACCTACAGCTCACAGCCAAGGATGACATCTCACTGTACGATCACGCCCTAGGCCTTGTCACTGCCCCTGCTGCTACTGCTGACAGCACTGCTCGCTCACAGTGGCAGACTCGTGATGCCCACGCTCGCTTCGCCATTCGCAACTCCCTGCCGATAGACGAACGCGAGCGCTTTGGTCAGCACAAGACTGCACCGGCACTGTACACAGCTGTAGTTGCTCGCTACTCCTCACCTGCCTCTGCCGCACTAGGCCGTCTCTCCCTCCCCTACCTGTTTCCCGACCTGGCCTCCTTTCACACAGTCGCTGACCTCATCACGCACCTCCGTACTAGTGAGGCCCGCTTCCGTGCCGCCATGCCTGCTGAGTTCCTTGCCACGCACCCCCCTCCACTCTGGCTCACTCTCTATCACCTAGTCACCCGCCTCCCTGACACACTGCGTGCTGTCAGGGACCACTTCCTAGCTCGTTGCCCCACTGAGCTCACCATTGCCCTCCTCGAGAAGGAGCTACTTGCAGCTGAGGCTAGCATAGTCGCTGTAGGTGCCTCTCGTGGCGACCCCCGTACCCCGTTCTTTGAGGGGTGTTCTCCTTCCCCCCTTCTTCCCTCTGTCGCCTCTGCTGCTGCTGTCGACCTTCTTGGCACTGAGAAGGTCGGCACTGCGTCTGCCTCGAGCGGACGCCGCAGCGGCAAGGGCAAAGGGGGCAAGGGTAGTGGCGGTGACGGCGGGGGAGGCGGCGGTGGGGGCGGTGGAGGCAGTGGGGGTGGTGGCTCGGCTGGAGGGGCGAGTGGTAGCGGTGGGGGTGGTGGCGGCAGCGGCGGGGGAGGTGGCAGGAGTGGAGGCGGCGGTTGGGGTGGCGGTGGACGAGGCGGCGGCAGGGGTTGGGGTGGTCGAGGAGGTGGCAGCGGTGGTGGTGGCCGTGGAGGCGCTGGCGGTGGCCAGGGCCAGCAGCACACTCTCTCGCCCCAGGAGGTCCGTGAGTGGTACTCTCAGCACGGGGGTGGGGGTGGTCTTAGCTGCACGTACGTCATTCGCACTGGTGACCGCTCTGGTCAGCAGTGTGGACGACCGCACGCCACTCAGCGCTGCTTCTCTCGTCTCGACGACGCTTGGCGTGTTCAGTTCCCTCAGGCCACTGAGCTGCCCCGCTGGCTTGATCTCCTGAAGAAGGGGATTGATATCTATGCTCTAGACTTTGATGCTATTCTATCTGCCATGTATGTGATGTCTACTAGTGGAGAGGGTGCTGAGTACTTGTGTGTGCCGCCCGACCCGGGCATTAGGGCCAGTGCGTCTGCCGCTCCAGGTACTCACGTGTCGGCTACCCCAGGTGCTGGTGAGGCTGCTGCTCTAGGTGCTCGTGTGTCTCCCCCCCTTGGTACTGCGTCGACTGCCGCACTGCACACCTTCACACTGGACTCAGGTGCTTCTCGCTGCTTCTTTCGTGACCGCACTGCCCTTGAGCCGCTTGCTCGACCAGTTGCTGTCTCCCTTGCTGACCCCTCTGGGGGTCCGGTCATTGCGACCTCTTCCACTGTCCTTCCCTGCCCTGCGGTCCCGTCGGGCACACTGTCAGGTCTCCACCTCCCCTCGTTCTCTACGAACTTGGTGGCAGGCTGTGCACTCCAGGACGGGGGTGTTCACCAGTTCACCCCTGCCTACGAGCGCGTGACACACTGCACGTGTGCTCGTACGGGCCGTCACTTGGCTACCTTCACTCGGCAGCCGGGGTCGGACCTGTACACACTGACTACTGAGTCCCCTCAGGTTGCTGCGACTGCGTCCGCGTCCGCGTCAGGTCAGCTGTCCGCCCCCTGCTCGTGTCGCTATTTGGCACACGAGACTGTCCTCTGGCACCACCGCCTTGGCCACCCGTCTGTGCAGCGGCTTCGTGCCATGCACTCCAGGTACCTTGTCTCTGGCCTGCCCAGGGTCCTTCCTCCCCTCCCACCCTCGCCTGCTCCTACCTGTCTCCCCTGTGTCGAGGGACGGCAGCGCGCCGCTCCTCACTCCTCCTCGTTCCCCCCGACGACTGCTCCCTTGCAGACACTCCACATGGACGTGTGGGGCCCAGCCCGCGTCCGTGGTCAGGGTCAGGAGAGGTACTTCCTGATAGTTGTTGACGACTACTCGCGCTACACCTCGGTCTTCCCCTTGCGCACCAAGGGTGAGGTCCCTGATGTCTTGATCCCTTGGATCCGCAGAGCCCGTCTCCAGCTCAGCGAGCGTTTTCACTCGGACTTTCCTGTCCTGCGCTTGCACTCTGACAGAGGTGGTGAGTTCTCCTCCGACCTCTTGGCAGCCTACTGTGCTGAGCACGGCATTGAGCAGTCGTTCACGCTTCCGGCTTCTCCACAGCAGAATGGGGTTGCGGAGCGCCGCATTGGCCTGGTCATGGAGGTCGCCCGTACCTCCTTGA